ATTATTTTTTGATGTTTTTATCAAATTTTTTTCTCCTAAATATTATTTTAAATATTATTATCGATTTTCATCAAATTTTTATCTCCTAGATATTATTTATAATAATCCGATTTTCGATTTTTACAGAAAAGGGTAAATAAATATGATTTTCATACCTAGCGGATTTTGTGACATCGTTTTACAGAATGTCTGCAACATTTGAATTTTATTTCTTCCCTACCTAAGGCTTCTTTTTTTGGTAACCCGACTTTAGATTTTGTTTCTTATCTTCTTCTTCATCCTATTGACTGTGTGGTAATTAGTTTACATCTTTTTCCATCATGGCTTATAGGTAATTTCATTTTGTTAAATTATGTGTTTCATTAATTTATACCAAAGATTTCAAATTTCATGTATAACAATTATTTCATTTTATATGTTATTGGACATGTTATTGAAAGGGATGATTTGAGAGAATTAACCAAAAATGGGCGGAGCCACAAGCTATTGGAAGTCGACATTCAAGACTTATTGTTTGTATGCGATATTTAATTTATAGTTTATATTTATTTTTGTTTCTTAATTTTCCAATTGTTAATTCCAGTGGCAAAACAGCCTTAAAATGAGGCAGTGGAGAAGGGCTTAGTTCCGATACAAGATGTATAGATGGCCTTTTACGATGGTATGTTGTCGATAGTTTAGTTTTGATTATGTTAACTAAGTTATTGAATCTAATTACTTTTAAGCTCAACATGAAAGACATAGTTGATGATTTTTTTCCTGGTTCAAATTTTCAATCTACACGTATTAGCTGATTCAATTCATTTGGAAAATTATTCAACAGTAAAGTTTTTTTTTTTTTGTGTAGTATACTTAATAATGTTCCACTGATGAATTATTAATGAATGATTATAAAAGAATTTTGATCATACGATACATCAAACGTTTATTTATATTCTTACAACATCAAAACAATGCAATTTGTTGTCCCGTGCATCGCACGGGTACAATTACTAGTTTTTATAATTACAACGAATCTTCCTTAGCTTATTCTAAAATGTCAACTAAACCAATTTTAATTATAAAAAAAAATTCAATAAAATAAAGAAACGTGTACCATAAGAAATGATGGCAAATCAATTTAATTGTTGAATCATCAAAATTGACTATGAAAACACAAATAAAATGTACTCTAATTAATAAATAGATTATGACCATTATATTAATTACTTCATTAATTTAAATATTCTCCACAGACCAAGCTGGCGAATATTAAAAGATAAAAATACACGTCGGTATCTCCTAGTGGAAGCATTTCATTGGTCAGTATGGCATAAAAAAAGACTATAAAAAAATAATTCTCCAAATTTATTCGCAAGAAAATATTTTTCGACAGCTCGCTCTATAAATCAACGATAATGCAGTGCTGGCAAATTCTCTCACGGCCAAAAAACATTTTGTATATACAGTTAAACCTCTATAAATTAATACAGTTGGGACCATCAAAATTTTATTAATTTAGCGAAATATTAACTTATCAATAAATTAATAATTATTAATTTATACACTAATTAATAACTTATTAATTTATGAAATTACATATATTATTATTTTCAATAAATATATATATTTTTTTAATTTCTTACGTGTATATTATTCATTGTACCATTCGTTCAATGCACTATAGTGCCCGTTTCACGAATGGAAGCTCTTAAAACAGTAATGGTATAAAATGATTTATGTTGAGTTATGAGAAAACTATACCGAAAGTTCTAACCATGTTAAGAAAAGTGAGGGATGATATTGATGATAATGTGAACTTCTATAAGAAACGAGCGATAATTAAATTATATTCTATTAGGGCTTCATAGATCTATAAAATATGCACTGTACCATGTAATTTAAGAATTATTTTTATGCATTATTAATTTATATATTATATGGGGCTTCTTAAAATTTTCGAATGTGTATTATCTTATAAATTTAGCGAATTATTAATTTAGCTCCGCTGTCCCCGAGTCGGGACCGGGAAATTTTTTTATTTCAACGAGGTTATTAAGGTATCGACGTATTTATTTTTAGAGGTTCAGCTCTTGT